GGCTATTGCTACAAATATACCCCAGCGACTTAAGACCAGGGTCACGTATATAAAACTAGTATTAGCAGTAGCTGTAGTGTTTGAGTACTGCAGTTACTGTTAGAGTAGCTGTAATGCTTATGTTTTCTGTTTCAGCCGAGCGCGCCTTGGACACCATGAACTTTGACGTGATCAAGGGCCGGCCCCTCCGCATCATGTGGTCCCAGCGAGACCCGTCACTGCGCAAGAGCGGTGTGGGAAACATCTTCATCAAGAACCTGGACAAGTCCATCGACAACAAGGCCCTCTACGACACGTTCTCTGCCTTCGGCAACATTCTGTCCTGCAAGGTAAAGACGAGTGTTTGCAGTAGGGCTGGACAATAATTCAATAGCAATGTGTATCGCGATATAATTGTTTTCAATAACGGTGATATGATTTTTTTTTTAAACACATTTCCGATATTTCGATATACATTACCGGTGTTTCCCATACATTGATTTATTTGTGGCGTTTGACTTCGCTGAATAAACATGAGCTCTTCGCGTTTCAAAATCATAACACGGCGCGGGTGTTTTATATGAATGCACCTCTGAAGGAAACCGACTGTCTTCAGAAAAGTTTCGATGACGTTTACATTTGATAAAGTAGCGTTCATGAGCGGAGCTGCTTTGTTTAAAGCCGTTACCGGGGAAACCGCTAGTTTTATCACTCTAAAAGCGCCTCCTGCTGGTGGAGAATCAGTTTGCATTTTCAGTAATAAGCCCGTCTCCAGCAACATTTCCAGTTTTTGTTGTCGTTCAATTTTTTTGTTTTCTGCAGCGACTCGGAGCACTTTTCATACCCTTTTTTTTTTTTCTGGCTGAAGCACATTTGTTTCAATCTATAAGAATTTTTGAACCGTAAGATTTTTAATGTTTTTAAAATTAAGAAGTCTCTTTTGCTCACCAAGCCTGCATTTATTTGATCCAAACTACAGCAAAAACAGTACAATTTTAAAATGTTTTTACTATTTAAAATAACTGCTTTCTATTTGAATATATTTTAAAATCTAATGTATTTCTGTGATGGCAGTCATTACTCCAGTCTTCAGTGTCACATGATCCTTCAGAAATCATTCTAATATGCTGATTTG